GTGTGAGTGTGTGTGTGTGTGTGTGTGTTTGCACGGAGTGAGTGCTTTCCATCGGATTGTGTCTCACCCGAGGGTCACGATGCCATTAGCGCGTGACACACTCAGCAGCCACGCGTTTGCCATGAGAGCGTCAGTCCCGTCGAACCCCAGGAAATAGCGATGGAAAATTGAGGTGACGTGAATCCGGATGATAGACCACTGAGGTCCATGTGTCACCGCTAACCTTTTTGCTTAATGTAGCGTGAGAGGAATCGGCACAACTCCTGAATGGAAAATCACTCGCTCTTTCCTCGTGACCCCGGAGTCAAACACACACACACACACACACATATACACACAAGCACCACAGACACACTTTATTTGGGTTGTGTGTGGCGACTGTGAAATGTGGGCACTTTAATCAACAGGTTGCTGTGAGGAGCGTAGTACTCTGTGTTAGTGCGCTTCATCTGATTGTTGTGTGTTTCTGGCAGCTCACGCTCTGCCCATGTTTCGTGAGGCCCGGCAGCGCAGCACCCGGAAGCAGCTGGAGAAGGACCGACTGGATCCGGTCAGATCCCACAAACCCGAGCCGCCCGTGTCCGGACCAGGTGACGTTTCTAAAGCATCACAGACACAAATCCCTCATTCTATCTGTTACATATTCATGATGATTGTCAACATTTTTTTTTCATAATCTGGGCCCATATTTTTGCGTGCAGTTTTGTCCTGCACAATGTTTCCACTGTTAAAAAATGCTGCATCCCTTAAATTTGACACATCTAGGAAGTGACATTGAATCCTGCAGGAATAAAGGCTCAAAAATGATTAAAAAAAAATCTTTATTTGTTATATTTTTCTTTAATATATGTTTATCAATAACTATAAACCAACATTAGTCCAGTTAGTTTGGTGAATTCTGGGAGAATAAAATAAATATCTATCTGTCTGTCTATCTATTCATATAAATGTTTATTTATTTTTATAAATAATATATATTAATATACATAAAATATTATATATGAATATATGTTTATAATATTAAATATAATTATGAATATAAAATGTATCACAGTTTCCACAGATGTAATATATTTGTATATTAATACAGAATAATTCACTTTGTATATTAATTTATAAATTAATAATAATAAATTAATTTATATATAGTCTTTGTATTTTTTTATATTTGTAAAAAATGACTATATATTTATAATATAATAAATTTATGATGTTGTAATTATGAATATAAAATGTATCAGCTATATAAATAAATTAATACATTATTATTAACTAATAAATTAATAATTCATAAATAAATTATTAATGTTTATTTATAGAAAAGTACAAATCAATTTTTTTATTGTATTGACGCATCCCAAGTTTCAGTACCAAAAATCACAAACCTCACAGTAAATAAACTGAAATGGAATGGCTCTTTTAATAATGCAATCATACTAAGCAAAAATGACACATCTGTGTTTGATTTGTGTTATTGCTGAATAGTGTTGAACTTTCTTCTCCTGCGTCATATTCTTCATGTAGTTAGTTTGAGCGGCGCCCTCTACTGTACAGACCAGAATTTACATTCAAATCGAATTCGCATCAAATCCACTTTTGGTGAGAAAGGGCTTTTGCATTCGTAAAAGAATAATTTTATTATATTAAAAACAAGCAAGCAAGCCCTGCCCAGATTTAAAAAGTAACTCAAAAGTAACATAACGCATTACTTTCCATAAAAAGTAACGAAGTAACTTAATTAGTTACTTTTTTAGGGAGTAACGCAATATTGTAACGCATTACTTTTAAAAGTAACTTTCTCCAACGCTCCCTCTGAATTTTATTATATGTGACCTTGGACCACAAAAGCAGTCATAAGGGTCAATTTTCTGAAATTACACATCATCTGAAAGCTGAATAAATAAGCTTTCCATTGATGTATGGTTTGTTAGGATAGGACAATATATCAAAATATTGAGAAAATCATCTTTTAAAGTTGTTCAAATGAAGTTCTTAGCAATGCATATTACTAATCACACATTAAGTTTTGATATATTTACAGTAGGAGATTTACTAAATATCTTCAAGGAACATGATCTTTACTTAATATCCTAATGATTTTTGGCATAAAAGAGAAATGTATAATTGTGACCCATACAATGTATTGTTGGCTATTGCTACAAATATCCCCCAGCCACTTAACACTGCTTTTGTGCTGCAGGGTCACATATTAAAAACAAGCAAGCAAGCAAGCCCTGCCCAGATTTAAAGAGTAACTCAAATGTAACGTAACACATTACCTTCCATAAGAAGTAACTTAATTAGTTACTTTTTTAGGGAGTAACGTAATATTGTAACACATTACTTTTAAAAGTAACGTTCCCCAGCGCTGCCTCTGAATGCTGGAGGAGATTTGTGTGTGATTCTGCTCTGATCTCTGCTTCTGTCCCGGAGCAGGTCGAGGCGGTCGTGTGGCGGCCCACGGCGGGACACTGTCCTCCTTTATCGTCAAAAACATCGCCCTGGACAAAACCGACGACAGATAGTTTGATTGACAGTAGCGTTTCAGTACAGACTGGACTGGTGTCTTACCTTAGCTCCGCCCTGAGTGACTGTCATCAGTCCTCCATTGTTTCTCCGCCGGAGCAGATGTAGATAAGAATGACTCCTGAGCGATCGAGGTGTTCTGTTGTTGAATGTCATAATGAACATATCAGTCGTCATTTACTCCCGACTTCTGAGCCGTCGGCATGTGAACTCGCAGTGGATTACATTGTTTCTGAAGGGAATGCTCCCCTGATCTACATAAATGCATCTATGTTTGCGTGAATCATTCATGATGCAGCCTCATCTACAGAAGAAGCGAGTATAATGTTTTAGTAATGAATCTTTGCAAATCGCCTTTCCTAATAATGTGCCAATTAGCAAGTTTCACGATGAATGCGGCTAAAGTAAACAGTCTCTCTGAGAGCAGCTCGGAAGAGAGGGGCGGAGTCAGCAGAGCTCATTAACATTTAAAGGAAAATACTACAAAAACGGCTTGATCTGAAAAGAGCTGTTTTTGACGGGGTAAAAAAGGTGTTATTTGCACTAACATTGAGAAATTTTAACCGAACTATGTTACAGACTTTTCATTAAGACCCTAAAGAATCATATCAACTTGTGGAAAATTGGCGTCCTATGACCCCTTTAAGAAAAATATGTTATGTTTATACATTTAAAATATTTATATATAATATCAATTATATTAATATAAATATATATATGGAAATACATGGATACGTGTGTGTGTGTATATATATATATGAATCTTTTTAAATTCTTTTAAAATTGCTTTGAATTTTTTAATTTATAACATTTAGTTTATAATTATTTTTTTCACTTCTTTATAATATTCCATATACAGAAACAAGCATTTCCATAATTTCCATTGTTCTTTACAAAGTAACACACTTTATAAAATGTAAAATATGCTTAAAAATAAATATATCATATATTTTCATCATCAATACAGTTTGAATAGAATTTGAACTATTTTTACTGGTCAGTTACAGTATTGAATTGATTTGTTACAATCAACGTTTGTCGACATTAGGCGCATTGAGTGGATATCTCCACTGATGCCTGATGGGATTGCTTCTGAAGAGTGTGTGTGATGCTGCAGTATAATGTGCTCAGAATCTGGGCGGCTGGCTGGAGATCAGGTGCAGGTGAGACAGGTGTGAAGACTGAAGTTCACCTGACACCTGTGTGTCACACCTCGGCTCACAGATCATGTTCTCCGTCCCAAAATAACAAACACTCTGACCCCAAACTCTCCATATTGGTTTCAGCCATAATTAGCACTGTTTTAATTATCAACATCAGTCTGATTCTACATTTTTATTTTGTTGTCCATGTTTGCTTTAAAAAAAGGAAAAAATTATTTATTTTTTTTTGAAGAAGATTAATGTTATTTTGTTTTCACAGTTTCTTTATTTCTATTTTATTTTATTATTATTCTCCAAGAATTATTTGTGGAAATACATTGGTGACCATATTGGTATTAGTCATAATTAGTACTGTTTTATTAATCGCAATTTTGTTTTGCACATTTTTATTTTAATTCGTAACACAAGAATTAGATTTGGAAATATATCAGTGACCATATTGGCATTGGGCAGTTTTAATTATCAGTTTTAGTCTGATTCAAGATTTTTATTTAGTTTTCCAGTTTTATTTATGTATTTATTTATCCATCCACCCCCAAAATGTGCTTTTAATCTCTGTTTAATTTCTGTTCATTTCAGCAGTGGATTGTTGGTTGCATTTCATTTGATTAGTTCGTGTCGGTTTAAGATATTATTAGTTAATTATAGTTCATGGAGAAACGAGCATTCTCAAAATGATTTGCAAACAAAATACCCAATACTTTTACATTTAAGATTGAATTTATAAAACCATTTGATAAAAATTTATAAAACCTGTTTATAATTTGAAGAAATATTAAACAAACATTTTTAGATGATGGTTTTAAAAGCGTTAAAGATGCTATTGATGAAATTGAAACTCTTCGGACAGTAAAATGATGCTGTTTGGTGTCTCAGATGTGTGTTAGTGTAACTGGATCTGAGCAGAGCTGCATTACTGCAGTGATGAACACAGAGCTAATGATCCTGTTACTCTCGTGCTGCTCGTGTCGTGCTGCTGTAATTGCCTTCTTCAGGTGTCCACACACACACACTCTCTCTCACACACACACACACACACACACACACACACACACACACACACACACTCTCAC